GTTTATCTATTCTTAGACATTTACGATTAAGGGAAATATGAAAAGGTATTCGTCTTACTGTAAATATTTTCTGGAGATATTTCAAGTTACTCAAGAGGGTCCTTAAACCCGTAAAGATGGCTGCCTACTATACCCCCTTTCTTTATCCCGGATCTCAGCTTTACTTGAGGGTTACATGAACATTAGCCCCCCCCCTCCCCAGCTTATTTCAAACTGATGATTAAACACCCTAATCCTACCTGGGGAGTTATGGTAGTTTGGATTTGGTTAAGTAGGGTGAATTGGATTATAGGTTAGGTGGTTTTGTTTGATTAGCTTTAGTTAAGTCTGGATTGGGGTACGTTAGGTTAGGTTTGGTTTGTTTAGGTTAGGTTAATATGGTTATAGTAATTGTTAAACTGAAATAAGCTGGCGTAGGGAGGGATATTCTTCATATCATCAACCTCGATAAAAAACCAACACTACCACCAACACCACCACCAACACCAACACCACACCAACACCACCACTATCACCAACACTACCACTATCACCAACACTACCACCAACACCAGAAGAAAACCACTCACTGAGACGTGGTGGTAACAACTGAGTGAGGAGGAGGAGGAGGTGGTGAGGAGTTATTACGACAGATTACCGCGTTGTGAATACTCTGAGTCAGATAAGAGCGATAAGACTAGTACCCCGACCCCGATAACTGTGCTGTTTCTGGTGTATTTAAAACAGCCGTCTTTACTTCGGATAAATTACGTCATTTATTGGATCACGTGTAGTAGATTAGACACCCTCAGTTTATTTCACCTGTAGATTAAAACACCTCAACGGGCGGGGTTAGGTTAGGTTACTGAATTACTCATTAAATTTAATATTACATTTCCAAAGAATAGAGAGAAAAGTTGTACAAGATTCTGACGTTGTTAAGTAAGTGTTATACAATCAGTTTAATTCAATTGCAGTCCAGATTGAAATACTCTTTGGAATTGAAGTTTCGTTTATTGTAAATAGTTTTCACCAACTTTTATAAATAAATGACATATGAATACTAATACATAGGAAAAGAACTATAGTCTGAATAGGGAGGAAGCCTAGCTCATAGATAATACAGATATATGAATATAAATATATAAATAATAAGCAGGTTCCCGTGACAGTCATCTGTTTTGTTTCTGGGAGTTGCTGTTACTTCCAGACCACAGACAACGTATTAGGCCACCAGCTCAATGCACCACCCAAACTCTCTCTCCCTCCTGCCACCGGGTTTCCTACAAGCTCTCACAAGTCTCACCTCTCAGCTGCTGGCAAGACTGATGATCCTTAAGCATCATGTTCAGGAGTACCTATGCTAAGATTTTGAACAAAATCTATTTTTTGGCCAAAAATCCTGTAAGGAATAAGACTTACAATTTTGTCATTTTCGGCCAAAAAATGGATTTTGTTCAAAATTTCAGTATAGGTACTCCTGAATGTGCTGCTTAAGGATCTGTTAACCAAAATTTGATATCTTGATTATAACTTGTTCAAATGGCTTTTAGAAAATGTTCAAATGATTTTAGAAT